ACGATCATATCGTATTAGTTTACCTAAGAAAAAGAAAAAAAACCTTACTTATCTGAACTCACACAGGTATTTTGTGGTCTATTGTCTCTGTTTTGCTCCATTGTAAAAATAAAATGCATCAGTGCCACGCTTTGCAACTGTTGTTTGGTCTCGTCACACAACGCCATTTATTTCCCGTTGGAGAGAGAGCGCGTTGCGTGACAAGATCAAATAATGGTTGCAAAAAGGACTACGCTTACTACCGTTTCTCTAACAGGGAGAAAATCACTATCGATAACATTTACCTTCATGTGAATTTTTTACAGTGGGGTTGGACAACGCGGTTAGAGTAGGTGATAAAATGTGGGTTGTCTACAAGGAAATTATTCGTGATAGAGCGAAGTCTAATGTGGCAAAACAGAATTTGATTGGTGGAATGCCATAAAAGCACGTAAAAAATTGCCTAATGTTCATGTAGTGCAATGATTGGGTATGTTCTGATTGGACTTCGTTTTCATGGTACGTAATGGAATGTAAGTTGTTTGGCGGGTTTGTTGAGAGTAAAAGAGTGGAAAAAAAAAGCTCTAATTTAAAAATGATACAAAAAGTTAAATGCGACGAGGCCTTCGCGAAGGCCACAAACCATTACACTTATCAAATGAGCCTGGCTAATGTCATTCTTTGTGTAAAGCCCCCAAAAGCTGTGATCGGTGCAAGATATCCAAATTCTCTGATATGACTGGTGCGAGATACATACCCTTATGCGGCAATCTGATTGGTGCAAGATACATACCCTAATGCGAAAATCTGATTGTGGCGAGCAACATGCCATTCTACGCTAACGTAAAATTATTATTTTTTAAATAATAGTAATAATAACTCAAAAAGGATTTTTTATTATCAATAATACATCGCTTCGGCGATGATTGCATTTTGATTACATTTGTAAAACTACGCTACATATGCTAAACAAGGTTGGCCTTTATGGTTAAAAAAAAATGACAGCTTTTTTACTGGCCTTAGGCGATGCTATTTCATACATGGTAGCCGCTTGCTATCCTGTTAAGAATTCACAGTTCCTCTTATATTTCCGTTACGATCTTTGTGACATCACGTGATCGGTAAAGTACACCTCAGATAATTGATTCTAGGAAAATTGGGAGAACAGAACACTCTTCTTTGTGTCAGGTTGGGACGTCTAAAATTTACAACGCCTTTAAGCCATCTTGGCTTCCCGCTACCATATCGAGGGTAATTTTGTCCTTGCTATGACTTCAAACATATTAATAGCTACTAAGCAGTTAGGCCTAATAGCGTATTGTACTTGAAGACAATAGTGCCGCTCACATGCTACTGTTCTGTGGCTTAAGGTCCTCCCTAGGCAACTGCACAATAGCGAAACTTTCCTGCTGGTGATGGATTAAGGTAGTAAACATAAAACCCTTCACAGCTTCTCACTTGAATTTGAACTCGTCCGTAACAACAATTATAATAACCGTGAAAGCACGCCTGCCTATTAACAACGCCATCCTCGAGGGATGGATGAGTCCCGTTTAACCAGCCTGTTATGTCTGTGTGACATCTGTGGTCGCTGACGCAGTGGTCCAGCATTTTAGTGTATGAACCAGACTGAAATCTATACCAGCCAGGTACGAGAGAATCGTCCGAGCTCTCTCCTCTTCCATTCGATGTATGGCGATCGGGTTCACTCCGCACAGTGTAATTGGTGCAACCCACTGGGTCTGAAAAAAAAATTCACATTTAACTCTTGATCAAAAAATCTACGATTGACGTCGTAAAGAGTGAGAGTTTTAAGCTATTTAGTTCTTACTAAGATTGTCAGGGTCTTTGTTCTATTTTATCATTTTTAGAAAATATAAAATGAAAATCTCCAAAAGGCATCGTATTGGTATACATCAGGTCACCCGTTTTCATTTAATCTGGCGTTTTCTTAATTGCAATTTTGTTAAAAAAAAACCTGGTTTCATGTCTCATGTACTAGCACCAAATATCATATATGCATCATATGATGCAACTCACTGAAGACAATCTTTTAAAATTTATGTTTGGATTACTTTTGTAAGTTTATAAAGACGTGGCGAAAACCCTAAAAGAGATTTTTTATTTATTCTTCTCTCTCCCCCCCTCCCCTCTTTGTAACGGTGTTAAAGCCACTAGAGTTTTCAATTAAGGCGGAAATCGAAAGGCGGGGGGGAGAGGGGGGGGGAATTACCGCCCTTTTAAAACCATAGGATGTTAGTTAGTCACCACAGAAAAAAAAAAGCGGTGAAACGTCTGCGCATGTGGCAACGTTGTAACGATTAGGTGACGCCTAGGTATTGTGCTTTCAGACTTTCAGAACCAAGCGACAAACAAGCACACAAGCCAGTGAGTCCCGGTGTTTCAGAAGTGTTTAAATTCCTTAATAAAGCTCCAAACGGAAATTCAATAGGATACCCGTTATCAATTTCCTAAGGTGGACCTTAAATCCCCTCACCCATGCCCTACGTACGTTTGACTGCAGTGTTTAGAAAGTATGACCAATCCAAAAAATGTCACACCTGTCATAAAGATCGTTGTAGTTATAAGTAACATAGCAAAGAATATTCGTTTCGGTAAATATGTGACGAAAAAATTCAAAAGCCACTTACCAATTTCACAATTAGTGCCACTGTAGCCCGGGTAACAGACGCACTTATGGATTTTTTCTCTCAAAGAAATCGGTGAGCATATCCCATGGCTGGAACAGGCTTCTCTGGTACAAGGATTCTAAAAAGAATAAAGATTGTTAAATTGAGTTTACAATTTTTAAAGCCAGAGCACCTAAAATTCTGCTAGCTACGCAGGCTACCGGACTTGAAATAATGATCACTTTGTAAGCGCACCCTCAGCTTAAATACAGTTGGCTAGGAAACTTTATCAAAAACTATACCTAATGCACAGATAGTTTATTAACCAAATAAATGTGTATGATGGTGGGATTCAATGCAACTGAAAGCATTGGGCATTGATGAAAACATTGGGCATTGTGATGCACTTTGCGGGCTAAAGTGTATTTTAGCTTACTCGCACGCTTGAGTGATTGTTCAGACTACTTTGGTAGTCGCTTTGTTGTACTTTTTCGTCATTTTCATTTTCTCAATGTCGTCCAAAGTAACTGTAATAGTGAAAACAGTTTATTTTCTTTGGAATGAAAAAGTTTAAGGCCCTTTTCAGAACTCATTTTAACCAACGCCCAGCAGGTTGGGCTAAATGACTGAGTCGGGCTCGAAACAGATTTATGTCTGCGAACATAATCTCTGTTTTGATATCTTAATATAAAATATAAGCAAAAAACCGCATAAAAAACAAAACAAAACAAAACCAAAAATACAAAAAAAACAACGACAACAACAACAACAACAACAACAACTAAAGTCTGTGGCGTATCGATATCCAGGTCAACGAGACTATTAACGAAGAAGTTATTCGGACGCCAGAAACAACTAACATAGATGATGTAGTGTGACCTTCAAGAATGTTCTAGAAGTAACTGTGTCATGCTGAGTCATCCATGAATCAATATATAAATAGAATCTGTTGTAATGCTACGGAACGTTCTAGATCCTCAACCGTACCTATAAAAGCCGAGCTTGTAACTAGATGTAGAGAGAAGTTTAGTTGCTGCTTATTCATCTGACACTTCAGATGAATGAAAACTACTCAGTTAAAATCAACAAAGTGACAAGAACTGGCGAATGAAGCAACGCTTATTGATGAAAGAATACGTACGTATCTGCCGCGGTTACGTAACCCTGGCGTAACCTTTAGCTAAACTCGAATATAATACTGATACATGATGAAAATTCTTTGACAGTTATTTCTGACAGTTAGTTGTTTTCGTAAATTCTAGTTGTTGAAATATAAAGATGTTTTGTGTTCTTAGCCTTCCAAAACGAACTTTACGAGTGAAGATTGCTGAAGACCCCAGTCAATCATGATATGGTGACATGAACGGCCGGTTTTCCTCCAAAGCGAAAAAGAGATTTTAGGGATCTGCCCTCATAACTGATTATGTGCCTTCTCGTTCTGGAACTTAGAAAAACGTTTCAATAAATTCTCATGAATATGTGTCTTTGTTGATATTAAAATTATCCTTTTTCTTTTCCGAGCGTTTTCCATCCCCGTAAACTTTGTTTGTTGTCTGCAGGAAACTGACGTTTTTGCTTCCATTTATCGTGATTGAAAAATATGTCTATTGCCTCCGATTTGCTTTCTCAGAAACTTCACCGCCGAGAGACGAGGATCAGATAAATTACTCTATTTTTTTGCTTTCGTGGGACGTCTTTTTACGAGATAACTTTTAGCTGGCCAAAAGTAATTTCATTTAACTTTTATGAGATAATCAGACCGAGATGTAATTCAGAAATGCAAATTTAAGAGCTTTATTCTTAACCATCGTAAATTCTGTCCGTCTCATGTCAACAGTTATTAACCACGAACACATAGCGTTGTTTGGCTGTAATGTCATAATTCTAAATTATAGCTCGTAGGAGCCCCTCAACCTCCCCTACCCACCCCTCCCATACCTGCCACCAACAGGTAAAAGAGTTACGAAGAGGGGGTTCACCGGGTTTAAGAACACAATGTTTTACTGGGTAAAATTGTTAAAGAGTAAGCGAGAAAAGTAAGCTTATTGTTGAAAATACTCAGGCTACAGAAATTATCTCGTGTTTGAATTGTAACAAGTGAAGTTTGGTCGCTATAGCGACATCATGCTCGATGCTTTGAATATAGCATTATGCCAAGCATAATTTATCTGACCCTACAGGAGATCTCTTTTTAATTACGGTGGACACCATGGTGTCTTTTGATCACGAAAGTGAATGCTTTTCTTTTCATAAACTTGGTAGAAAAGAGTAGAAACAAGTGATGGATATAAATACGAAATAATATCAAAAAATGAATCACATGATTTTCGAACCATAAGTGATAAAGAAATAAGTAATTCACCGATTTTGGAAGTTGTGGCGGTTTATTAGCTTGAGTTTTAAAGTCTATTGATGATGACGCTTGACGCAAGTGGTGAGGAAAGCTATTCCACAACACCGCACTACTGTAACTAAAGCTTCGCTTGAAAATTATTTGCCGAGTAGTGGAACTGCAAGCTTACTCTCACTATTCCTCAGATTAAACGAAGTAAGGTCGTTCCTTTCAATGAATTTGGTCTTGAAAATTCTGTATTCAAATTGTGTGGCGTTTTATTCCTCAGATTAAACGAAGTAAGGTCGTTCCTTTCAATGAATTTGGACTTGAAAATTCTGTATTCAAATTGTGTAGCGTTTTATTCCTCAGATTAAACGAAGTAAGGTCGTTCCTTTCAATGAATTTGGTCTTGAAAATTCTGTATTTAAATTGTGTAGTGTTTTATACAGTATTTCTTCTACTTCCAGTTTCCGCTAACTATCAGATCGTCCTGTTAGGCTACACTGACGTTACTAATTATGTACCTTCAACGTGAGGTGATGTGAGTACTGATCTGCAATGAGCTGTTCAGCGTTGTTGTAGATATGGGACGATAAAAGATCACACCAGCGTTCTCCTTCACTATCAGCATTAACCGCCAAGTTGAATGAAACGCAGAGGTTGTTCTCAAGGCAAGCTAGGCTACAGTCGAGGATGTCCTCCACAAACATTCTCATTACGTAGGAAGCGTTAAGGTAATGATACAGTATTGGCTCATACGAGGCTATTATGTTTTTAGCAACGAGTCCATAACGGTTCGAAAGGCAAACTATTAAAGCGATGAAAACGCAGAATTTCATCTCCTTTGTGAACTTCTACCATACAAATTTTAGCGCCAGATAGATGCCTGATAGTCTTCAAATGATGAAATATATGTAATAAATCCTTCAGTTTTGACAAAAGATGAGAAATTAATCAGTGGAAATTAAAACACGATACAACACCTGCCCCTTCTAACTTTCAATTTCAGCTCCCAAACGCTACATATTAAAAAAAAAAAACCCACCACTTTCAGTGTAATCTACTTCAAAACTAGTACTCTCTGACAGAGCTTTATATCGGACAGGCAGGAAGGAGCAGATTAGGTGATCGTTTTCGAGATTGACGGAAAACAAAGACAAAGATGCCTCCAAACCTTTATTTGATCAGTATGAGATTCTCGTAACTACTTTTATCTAATCGTAGTTGATAACCAATCAACTATTTCTATTGCCTTCCGAAGCAGTTTCTTTAGAGACTAATAGGTAGACCTAGTGATTATCAGAAGTTACTTTCCCACAAATCCTTTCAGGTACCAGGTGTCTTTTCGACTTATTCAGCAAGATTACTCATAAAAATGAAAGATATCAACAGGATTTCTGGAACTCTATTGTTCAATATTTTGATCGCTTTTCCGCTCGGCGAATGGATAAATGGTTATACATTTGTAATGAAATGCTCCCCTCCGTGATGAGGGTAACTCTAATCAAATTCAGCACAAGCAGGAGCCCATAAAGGTCAAAGTTAATTGCTGTTAGCGAAAGCCGGCAAAAATTCAAAGCGAAAACAAAGGTTGCTGCACTTTATGTTGATAGCGCGGTGACCATGCAAGCTTTTGTCTTGTCTTTGCAAGCTGGGCACAAGTCAGTTAATCTCACAAATTGTAACAAGAGTCAGACTCTTATTTCAGACCAACACATTTTTAAGTCTTGGCTAAACTGTGTCTTTAATTTTACTCGAACCCTTCTTTCTAAAAGCAGCGCCTGCGGCTAAACAGAACTTTACACCAAAAACCTTTAAATTAAAAGACCATTTTTTACTCGCTATTCTTCTAACATTATCCAGCTTAATGCTGTTTCAACTGAAAAAAGGCAGATCTGTAAATGTAGACAATTACAGATCGTCATTGCTCCCAACACGTGACCAGGCCAAATTATTAAACCGGGCTCTTACAGCAAGTATTTTCAGAGCACTTTTTTTTCTCTCTAAGGGAAGTTCAATTTTTTTTAGCCATTTTAGAGTAAGGGTCCACTACACTGCACAGTAACGAAAATTTCCTGGAGGAGGTGGTTTTAAGAAATACACGTAAAACCCATTACATTTTCTCACACGAACGTGAACTCTTCTGTAACAACATTTGTTGTATCCAACGAAACAAACTTCCCTGTCGACAATACCATCCTCTATCGATGGATGTGAGCCTTTTAACCAGCCTGTTAGGTCTGTGTGGCATTTGTGATGATCGACGCAATAGTTCGGCATCTTTTCGTATAAATAGGACTGGAATCTGTACCAGCCAGGGATCAAGGAACTGTCTTTTTTTTTACCTCTTCCGTAGGAGATGTGCCGATCTGGTTCGCTTAGCACTTTATAATTCAAGCACTCCGGTGCAGCTGAAATACATGCACAAAAGTTAAAATCCTACGATTGTACATTGAAAAATTAATTATAATCAGACAAGATATTTGCTGACCTCAAAGGAAGTAAGGTATAGAGAACCAGAAATACTTAACGGCCCAGGTAATGATGTGTCCATATTGAGACAGGTTTTCCAACATTATTAAGTTAAAGATCTGCAATCCATATCAACTTCTGCTTCTCTATCTTTAAAAACCCATGATCCTTTCTAGTTTTTCCTTTTCGTTGTGGTCTTTTTCTTTCTTTCTGGATTATTGTTTATGGTTCCTTTAAAATAGAGGTACTTTACATGTAAGGGAAAACTATACGCTCTAAATATCGTGTCATCATTAATTACTCTTGAAGAGCTCGCCTAATCCATAAGAAAGTCTAGCTGAAGTTGACAGTAGGAAAAAGCCAGTAAATTGCATAAAGAACGGTGACAAAGTTGCAAATGGTTTTAGTTTCCCAAATTTCAATTGAACTTAGATTAATGGATGCCTCATTTCTCTATCGCCCACCTTATATTTTCATCTGATTTTTCCTGTTCCCATGCACTCATCTCATGTCACAATAAGCAAACTAGATGGCATGGTTACGTCGGATGTAACGTGAAACACACTAATTAATCTTTAGTTGTAAGAGTAATCGCCAATAGAAATAATATCTATCTTAGAATTTCAAATTAATCTGGAAAAAATTGCTATTTACCAATTTCACAATGTTTTCCAACATATCCGGGATGACAGACGCACTCGAAGGGTCCGTCTCTAGAGGATATTGCTCTACACTTCCCTTGACTCGAGCAGATTTCACCGCCGCAAGAATTCTAAAAAATACGGAACAAATGAGTAACATAAAACAGCAGTAAATGCATGCATAAATTACTTAAAAGGACATCTTATCGCATAACAAATAAACCTAGAAGCTACAAAGTTGAACCCGAAGTATTTTGAAATACCTATATTGGAAATTCAATCGTGAAACAACCCACGACATAAACAACAAAAGACCTCTGGTTTCCTTGTTATTTTAGTCTCAGTGGAAGAGGAAAGGAAATTTGAAAGATCTAATCATTTCTCAAATACCTGCGAAAGGCTGTAATGGTGTGATCGATAATTTGCCGCTAGTTTTGCAGCATCGGTGTGGATGTTGGACGACAGAAGTTCGCACCAATACTTCCCTTTTCCATCAGCAACGGCAGCAACATTTAATGAGACACAGAACGCATTTCGTAGACATGCAAAGCTGCAATCGATGGGCTCGACAACATGTCTTTTTCCCAGAACACTGATGTGCAAGTAATGAAAAAGTCTTATCTCAAATGACGCTGTTATAACTTCTGGTATTACCCTTTGAAGATTCAAAACAAGCACCATGGTGAAAGCAGTCATCAATATCCTTGTCGCTGAAACTTGCGTTTTAAGCAGATTCTCAAGAAAAAGCATTATTCTCAGTGCAAAAATCAAAGTACACATGCAATGCGTTATGCTTCTTTCTCATGAAACGCACGGCGGTCCTTAAATAAATATCAGTGATCCTTTCCAAAGATATGAGAATATTTGAAAAGACTGCTGTTCATGTGACTTCACAAGATAGCTAAAATAAACGCCGAACGAAATGGATAAAAATAAAAATTCGGCGCTCGTCTCGACTTAATTATTTAGCCCATCATAATCAAACATTATAAATAATCTTGTTTAATTAGCGTTGGTTAAACATTACGTACATTGCAGCTTAAAAAGCGATTCCCATTCAGTTGATTTTAAACTGCCTAAGCGTTATGCGTTAATTTCTGTGCTAGAAACATCGTCTAAATTTTGAATTTCAAGACGTTACGAGCTTACTCTAACTCTAAGAAAAACTGCGATTTAGAATCATGTTTTTCATTCCAAGCATCTATTTTTTCCTCTAAATCTAAGAGCAGAGATGTCTTGTTTTAGACATTGTCAAAAGTATATCCACAAATCGACAAAAATTTCCGAAAGTGCCATCAGGGGAAAGCTAACAGCGAATGAAATCTAGAGTTTTGCAAAAACTATTCGACATCAAAAGCTTTGCCTTAAAATATGCCTTTATTTCGTCATACGGCATTCTACAAAGTCTCAATTCAATTTTTGTCGAACCAAATCGCGTAACTTCCTCCATCAAATATTTTTATTCGATTCAAATATTGCAGACTGCTTAAATCCGTATGTAAATATACGGCCGTGGATATCAAACAGTGGAAATTGACTGAAGACGTATTTTGACAGGACGTCTTCTTGTCAGAGCTTTGACCTCACGGAGAGTAAATTTTCTCACGTAATTTCTGTTTCCTTAGAAATTCTAAACTTTAGTTTGACTTTCAGAGCTTGTAGTAAAAGCATCACTTACGGAACTTAACAACTCACAGTGTAAGGAACATCGATAATCATTTAAAATTCTTGAAGCTCACCTGCGGGGATCACGTCTTTAATTATTTATCAGTCGAAGGTCAAAATGTGCTGAATTAATTTCGCTAACTAGAAGTTAGTATTTTACAGTGACAAGGTTTGTAAGCCTAATATAATTTATTTGCGTACATTGGAGAGTTAAAACTCATATCTAGAGGCGTGAGGTTTATAGTACCTCGTGGCTCATTACTGCGAACAAAGGAACAGGTTTTAAGGGGGGAGGGGACCCTAACAATGACCAGTAGGAGAAGGGGGGCCATAGACAGGACCGCAGCAGCTCATTTACTGAATGTAAACCAATTCTTTATTGTGAATTATAGGTAAACCAGGATTACTTTGGTTTTGCTTTACTCGCTGTGTGATTGGTCCAGAAACTCACGCCACCCTTTAAACCAATCAAAACGCAAAAATTAAACCAATCCCGACTTGTTCGCTCCCATTTTCCCTCGGTTCAAGTGGTTTTACTTTGAGTTTCCATTGGCTCATGATGACGTCAACCTTTGATCTGACTGCCGATGTGATAACCCTTTTTTGATGTTTCGACTTTCAGTTGAAAACTGTCTTATCAGTGAATGTAATTTTGCTGGTTTTATCGTTTTAAGAATTTGTTTTTCAATCCATTTCAGGCTTTATATATCATGTAATATTTCATAAACGTGGGCGAGTATTTTATCAAGGTTTGTAAACACGAGAAGAGTGATGATTTTATTATTTTGTAGTGTTCAAAGACCTTGATAAAATAGTATGTTCACGGATTATGATTTTCATCGCAAGCAATATCTTGAAGAAAGGTTTGAAGACCTGGAAAGCATTTCCCTAGACATCTGGCTCACAAATTTGTCCATGAAGTGGCTTATTAATTTCTAACCACGCGTGTTGGATATCCTAACACGTCAGTCATAGTTTGATGCTTCTCTGGATTGCAGATTTAATGAATGTAACCGAAGAAGTTACGATTCATAGACCCAGATAGGGTCTATGAATTGTAACTTCTTCGGTTACATTCATTAAATCTGCAAACCAGAGTAGCATCAAACTATGTCTCATTGTCCACCTGGTTGCCGTGTGAACTTTAATATATCCTGACACGTGTTGGATATCCTAACACGTGTTTTTGGATATCCAAACACACATGTTTGGATGTGTGGATATCCAAACATGCTTGCTCAAGTGTTTTTGGTTTACCATGTGACCCAAGTGGAGACACACAAGAAGTTAATAACCTTATGCATAATTAACGATTTGATAATAAAATTTATTTTACGATTGGCACTCTTGTAATCGATCCCAAGATATCCTTTTGTTGGACATGCTTGAGAGATATGGCCAGAAATTGTGAGTGAACGAAAAATTTGGATCTGTGTTAGATGGATGAAGCAGAGTCAGAAGGAAGATTTTCAAACTCATTTCATAGAATAAAATTGCCTTATTTACAAAAAATGCATATTAAAAAAACTATGGCAGTGCAGCTGGTCTGCTTACTATACTTATGATTAGTATTTCAAATTAATGTAGCGACGATAACTGTCTGAAGAAGAAAAACAAAAATATCTTCGTTATATAACTTAAATATAATATTATATAACTGAATGTAGCATTATATAATTTAGAGTGACGTAAGTAAATGGAAATTAGTTTTAAATGAAAATATGGTACAACTTTAGGTCAAATCTAATGCATTAAGATCTAAACATAAAACAAGGACAAGAGGAATTCTGTTTAGACAAACTGGTAATTAATCAATCAGTAAATTGCGTTGACTTCCCCTCAATAAGTAAGCAAGGTGTAGCTAAAAGTACTTAGCTATGAATTTTTTACTTCGATGAGTGTCTACATTCTCAATACTTCTGGCATAGTAAAAATAAGAAAAGGAAGAAAATAACAACATGGAATGACGTCATGAAAGGGGTTAAGTTCATTCTGGAAGTCCTCCCTCACTCCACAACAGTTGAGAATGCCTTCACTAAACAAGGTGGAATTTCTCAGCATAGGTATCAGCGTTATCGCGCTGGCCATTATTGGTACTGCAATTCAAGTGCTTTCGTTTCTGATTTTATGCAAGAGACAGTTTCGAAAATTCCACCTCACGCCATATTTTCTGAACATTGCTCTGGCGAACGTCCTGGTTATAACAGTGGACCTGCCAGCAGTAGCGATCTCCGCATTCGCAGAAAAACAACTGATGGGAGATATTTTCTGTCAGGTAAGATTGATTGATCAATCATGGCACAGACATGCACACACAGGACAGAAAAAACCTTCAATCTAACAAACGGAAAACAAAGCAATTTTAATCATGGAGTACTGGCAACTCTTTACCCGTCAATCTTTCAAACAGCCTGGAGTTTATTCATACAGAGTGATGCTGAAATAAGGGGATCAGGGAATCAGGGACGTTGCTGTTTCGAAAAACAACGTCTTCCGCATTAATTACAGAGAAGGATTGGACATCTCAATTCCCTCTCTGAGCTTTGGTTTTTTTATAGCCACAGAGAAAACGATGTTTATCCTCAAAGCAATTTGTTGTTTCTCTTCAACAAAGAAAAAATTCACGTGAAAGACTGGCATCGAAATTTTATTTGTATAAAATTAGAATTTTGTTTGCGACTCCGAAGTTCATTTGACTAATCTGTTTCTTTTATTTCAGATGCGAGGATTCTTCGTTGGCGCGGCATCTATTACAACATTTGCTACCATGACATTGTCCCTCTTCAAAATCTTTCGCAGGATGCATGATCAAGCTCCAGACGCTGATTTCAAATTTGCCTTGGGCGAAGAAGAGGACTGGAAACCTTACAAGAGCATGAAGACGATGACAGTCACGTGGTTCTATGGACTTGCCGTCATGTTTCCTCCCTTTGTGGGTTGGGGCTCATTTTCGTCTGAGTCTGGTGGTACTATTTGTATCCCAAACTGGCGAGATAACACCTCAGCTGGACACGCCTACTTGATCACACTCGTCATTTTGGCCTTCGTGGCACCCTTGTACGTTTCCTTGGTCTGTTTCGCGAGGATTTACCGGAAATCAAGGAAACTCCCTGATGAAAACCTGAGGACGACCAAGGAAAAAACATTGACAAGGAAAGCTGTCAGGATGGTCGTACTCGGCATAGTCAGCTTTTCCATCAGTTGGACCCCTTACTGTGTGTCTGCTATGATATCAGTCATAGGTGGCTCGGAAATTTTTGACAGAGATCAGTCTTTCATCCCTGGAATATTCGCCAAGGCCAGCCTCATGTACAACCCGCTGCTCTGCATGCTTGTCTGCAAGCGGTGAGAAAAGGGAAAAGAATGCGTTGAAGCGCCTGTTACGAGTACAAATGCTTCATGATCCCCATAGAATTGAATGTGAACGAGTAATGTAAGAAATGAATTG